GGGGGGGAGGGAGGAGAGATCCTTGTCACCAAAGGCTCTCAGCACCTTCAGACCACCTCTCTGAGCCTCTGAGCCTCAGTTTCCTATGCCCTGAAGTGGGACTAACTGCCTCACTTGAAGGGTGCAGGGCAGGTGAAGTGCCAGCACAGTGCCTGACCCTGCCCAAACCCTCCCCAATGCCAGCAGCCCTCCCCACCCCCTCTCCTGCCAGCTAAGCCAATGTGGGACAGTGGCAAGACTGTGAATTGTGCCTTTCTCTGGCCAGGGCTTGTTTATTCAGGCCACTTTCTGGGGATTGGCCCTAGGACTGTCAGCCTCCATTTCTCACTTTGACCCTCTGCATTCATTCTTCGGACTCATCCTGAGCAACTGAGGCCCAGGCTACCCTGGGAAGTGACAGGTCTGGTTACCTGCAGGTAGGCAGAGACCAAAGATGAAAACCTTTAGACTCCATGGCAAATTCTGGTCCATTTTAGACCTATCAGTAAATGGTCAGTGACTTTATAAGCTCCCAAACTTCCGCATTTCTCAAAGCAGTTCAGACTGAAACTGTTTTCTCATTTACCAGTGATCAATTCTACCTCGTAGTAATCAACATCCACTCAAACTTTCCTCCAGCAAGAACACAGCTGAGGGCCCAAATCAGAAATGCCAGGTGTGATGGCACACACCTGCAATCCCAGCACTCAGGAGGCAGAAGGAGCTACACAGTGAGACCCTGACTCAAAAACAAACAAGAACAACAACAAAAACCCAGCCAGGTGCTGGTGGCTCACATCTGTAATCCTAGTCATTCAGGAGGCTAAGGTCTGGAGGATCTCAGTTCAGTGTTAGACTGGACAGAAAAGTTGAGAGACTCCATCTTCAATTAATGAGCAAAAAGCAGGATTGAAGGCATGGTTCAAGTGGTAGAGCACCAGCCTATCAAGCAAACCAAGCAAGCACAAGGCCTTGAGCTCAAACCCCTATAAGAGCAAAGAAAGAAAAGGGAGGGAAGACAGAGTGACTAGAGAATCTTGTCACCAGAACTGATCTTCTGTCATCTGGGTCCTTCAACTGTGGCCCAGGACACTAGGAACAGATCCCTGCTGAACAAAATGACAGGACTTGACTTTTTTTTTTCACCAGTCCTGGGGCTTGAACTCAGGGCCTGGGCACTGTCGCTGAGCTTCTTTTGCTCAGGGCTAGCACTCTACCACATGAGCCACATCGCCACTTCCAGCTTTTTCTGTGTATGTGGTACTGAGGAATCGAACCCAGGGCTTCATGCATGCAAGGCAAACACTCTACCACTGAGCCACCTTCCCAGCCCCAGGGGTTCACTTCTTAACCCCAGCCCCACCCTGGCTTTGCAGGGGGTGTGGGGGGGGCGGTCCTTTCCCACAGAAGCCTTCTGAGAGAGAAGCCCCAGGATCCCCAGGCAGAGGCAAAATTGGAGCTTAGCCATGTGAGGAATTCCCGGGAGGGAGTGGAGCTCAGAATAGCCATGTTGTTCTAATGAAGCACAGGCTGAGAGGGGGTGAGGAAGCAGGGGAGGCCTCCGAAGGAGTTTCCTCCTCAGGTTTGCAGGAGGATGGATGGAGAGGGGACCTCTGCCAGCCTCCAGGAGGCATGCAGCTGTAGCGTTGCTGAGGAGCTTGGGGGGCTAGCTGTTTTATCACAGAGGTGTATACCCTACCTAGCTCAGAGGGAGCAAAGCTTCAGCACCAGTATGCCATCTTCCCTAACCTACATTCAGTTGCTCTCGCTAGCAGGAAGTCCTTTAGATTGGATGCAAGTTATGCTTGCTATCACCAAAGTCCGATTCCTTGAGCACTTAATGTGCAAAAGTTAAGACACAGGAGCAGCTTCCAGCTAGGGCTATTCTGAACTTCCTTGGCCTCTCTGAAGCACTGGACAGGGTTGGTCATGAATTGCAACTCAAAACTTGAAGCATGAGAGTTTTAACTATAGATTAAGTACTGGTTATATTTGCTCTGGCTGTGTGGCCACAGATGAGCTCCTTAATCTCTCTTAGCTTTAGTGTCTGGTATACAAACATATAAAAGATAGCAATAGATGGATTTCAAAGTGTCTATCAAAGTGTTTGAAGTCTGGGAGCCGAGGCACACGCCAGCTACTCTCCACAGAGGTGGAGATAGAAGGATTGTTTTCTGAGGCCAAGATTTGGCAAAAAGCCCCAGACTTTATCTTTAAAACAAACTAAAGGCAAAAGGAACTAAGGCGGGACTCAGGTGGTGGTGTTTGCAAGCCAGAGGCCTCGAGTTCAATCTCCCTGCTCACACACAAAAAAGTGCTTAGCACCATATAAGTCTATGTTACATAAAAATAATAGGAAGGAGTACAGTGATCAAAAGGGAATAAGTAGGAGTGTGAGTCATGTGTTGCTTTTAAAGTTCTCTGAAGGAGAATTCACAATCTGCCTTAGATATTCCTTGGGGTGAATCATCGTCTTAGTGGAAGTGCTTTCTGCTGTCTAAGTTGACTCCCTCCTGCTACAGGTAAGACTTAAGGCTTAGCTAGTTCTCCATCTTAGTCCTGCCATTCATCTCTGTCCCTCTCCCCTCCTATGCAGCACCCCCTCCCCCCCACACACACCAAGGGAAGATTCACTTACAGGTCAGGTCCAAGGTCCCACTCACAGTGCCCATCCCAGGGACAGTCAGAGGTGTTGATACCAGCCATGCGCCATCTGCCTCTCTCTTCTGCCAGGGCTAGCAGGGCTTCCCTGGGGTGGGGGCTGTACTGCCGCAGCTGGCCAGGATTCCCACCTCGAAATGGGTGGGCTTCAGGGAGAAGCGGGAGTGCCACGTCGAAGCCCAGCCTGAAGGTGTCCACCATCGGGCTGGCCTCTGCCACCATTGCCCGTCCCAGCCAAGAGGCGCAGGGGCAGGGGGCTGGGTATGGACTGAGAACCAGGTGGTTCTGGCCTCTGTTCCAGTGCGGAGGTTGTGGGCTGCTCAGTGGGGCCAGGGCATCCTTGCCCAGGAGGAGGAAGACGAGAAGGCAGGCCTCTGTAGGGCTGTGTGTGTGGAAGTGGGAGCCTTCCAGAGAGGCCAGGATCTGGCCATGCACCTTGGAGATGGGGCCAGCTGCTGGGTACACGAAGACCTTCAGGCCATCGCTCCTGCACTTGGAGGTGTCAAAGCAGGTCCCCCAGTTGCAACTGCCCCCACGGAGGGTTGAAGGAGGCTGAGAGACGGCATCTTCGGGGAGCTCTTCAGGCTGGGAGAAACTCTTCAGGAGTGCGGCATCCAGCCAGCGGGGCCAGCCTTGGGGGGGGCCTGGCTGAGGCTTGGGGGGCACTGCCAAGCGGAGAAGGGGGGTGCCTCCCAGGAGGACAAGCAGGAGCCAGGCGGCTGACAGTGCCAGCCAGCGTGCCTTCTTTCTCAACTGCATATGGTCATTCACAGCCAGGGCGAGGCAGGAGGAGCGGGGTCTAGAGCTGGGATCGGCCTTCTAGCCCTGTGCACTCATTGTACAGACAAATGATCGAGGCTCACCAAGGGCCGGATCCTTGGCTAAGGCCAAACAGGGAGTCTCAGGCCACCCATGGGAAGCTACTGAGGACCCAGAATTCTAGACTTGCTTCCTTATGCTCAGGACTCTTCTTCCTCACTTCTACCTTTGGACAACCAACCAGCCTTCGCCCTCCCAACCCTGTCCCTGCCCAGAGCACTGCTCAGGAAGATGCAACCCTTGTCCAGACTTCAAGGCCGTGTCCCTCTACCTTCCTAGCTACACAGCCTGACCTTGCCCTTGATGGAGAGGAAAGCTGTCTGCCAGGCTGTGGAGGATGGGTCAGTGCTCCCACAGAGGGCAGCTTGGCCAGAGCTGGAAGAAGCAGGGCTGGTTTCTCCAACTCTTTCCCCTGTCCATCAGCCCCTGAGCAGCCCTGGCTACCCCTGCAACCGCTGGCAGATGCTCCTGAGGCTGGAGCTAAAATTAGATGACCCTGCACCGATATGAACCATCGGAGCCAGTGGAAGCCAGGGACTGGATGCGGCCAGGATCCCCTGCCTGGGGGGACCTAGAGGACTCAGGGTCCTGATCCTGTTCGAGTCTGCTGCTTCCACTTGCCCAGGCACTGCATGCAGCCCCTCTCTGGCTCCGCAGCTGCCCCGCACCCTCGGGCTTGCAGCTGTCACGGTGTAGCAGGCAGGACTTCAGCACCAACTCCCAGTCCCACAAGCCCAAGCCAGGCCAGGCCAGCAGCAGCTCTCGGTCCCACATCCAGGCAGCATCTGGCCAACAGCTTCAGCTCTCTTTCCTAGCGGAAGCCTGACTCCGCCCCCTACGGCCGTGATTGGCTCCTGTGTGGGAGGCAGGGTCTCCACTTAACCCCTTCCAAACCAATCCCCAGGTTTGCTGCTAATAATCACTTCAAGCACCACGACTTAGACTTGGCAAGAATTTGCATAATGCCTGTCTCCAAATCCTCTAGAAACTCAACAAGACAGAAATGTATCTGGTCAGGATCTTCTTCTGAGTTCTCATGACATTCCTCCATCCCTCTGTCTCCATACCCATTCATTCATCTATCTAGCAGGTACTAAAGGGGTACTACAGAAGACACTGGGGTGCAACAATGAAGGAGGGTAATGGCTATCATGACTAGATCCAAGCTCAGAGTGGTCCTTTCCCTAATTCTGTAAGATCTATTATTGTCCTCATTTTACAGATGAGGAAACTGAGGCCCAGAGGGCTTACATCCCCATGGTGTAGCCAGGATCAAACTCATCCCTTCCTATAACCAGTCTACCTGCTGAGTGAGACAGATCCTCCCTCTCCTGAGCTCATCGTTTAGGTGAAAGAGAGACTAGCATGGAGAAAGGTGATGTGGGAGTAGAGGGTCTGCCTGATCGGAGGCAGTGATGCCCACTCTAAGACTGGAAGGACACAGCACCTGTGGTGTTTGGGGATTGTGCTTTTGCTTTGTTCTTGCACTGGGGGAGAGATCCCAGGGCCTCCTGCATGCTTGGCAAGTGTGCTGTACCCAGAGCCCCATCCTCAGCCTGTACTAAAAAAAATTTTTTTTGAAAAAAAAAATCACTGTGGCTGGGTGGGGAACAGGAAAGAAATGACAGACCTGGGACAGGGATAGGGGTTTTTATTTTTGTTTTGCTTTTTACTAATCTGTCATCCTACAAGCTAGCCACTCATTCAATAGCCATCTCTGTGGGCCTGGCAGGTGCTTAAGACAGTAGATAAAACAGATAAAATCTGGCTCACACCTGTGATCCTAGCTACTAAGGAGGCTGAGATCAGAGGATCTCGGTCTGAGAATCATGGTTCAAAACCAGCCAGAGGGGCTGGGAAGGTAGCTCAGTGGTAGAGCGCTTGCCTTGCATGCATGAGGCCCTGGGTTCGATTCCTCAGCACCACATAAGCAGAAAAAAAAACCCCAAAAACCAGCCAGAGCAGGAAAGTCCATGAGTTCTCATCTCCAATAAAAACCACCAGAGGAGGTGGCTCAGTAGTAGAGTGCTTGCCTTGCATGCATGAGGCCTTAGGTTTGATTCCTCAGCACCACATAAGCAGAAAAAGCCAGAAGTGGCACTGTGGCTCAAGTGGTAGAGCACTAGCCTTGAGCTGAAGAGCCGAGGGACAGTGCCCAGACCCAGAGTTCAAGCCCCACGACTGAGGCCCCCCCCAAAAAAAATCCAGCCTTCATGAAGCATAGTGTTAAGGGAGGAGAAGACAACAAAACCCAAACACACACTATCCTCTTCCTGTTTTGAAAACTAGGGATTGTGGGAGTATTCAATGTTCAGTGGAATGGGGGTAGGCCTTCTGAGCAGCCACTGTCTGAGTGAAGTTCTGAGGAGGTAAGAGAGGAGTAGAGGTGACCCAAGAGAAGATGGCACCAGAAGGGGGACAGCTGGGCACAGGTGATGGGGCAGGAACACATAGTAGTTGGGCGGGGTAAGCCTCACCTTCCCCTGATTCCCCAGGAGAGAGGATGATTGCAGGGCTGAGGATTGACACAGCCCGGAGCCCTGCTGGGCCACGCTGTAGGGAAGTCATGAGGGTGGCCAGCAGCAGGGTAGCAGGAGTAAAAAGTGGCTGGATTCTGGAGATATTCTGACAGAAGCAAAGGGACAGGTTTGCTGATGGGTCAGGTGTGAGGTGTGGCCTCAGCCATTGGCGGATGGATCTGTCCACCACTGAGAAAGAGGAGGAGGATTAGGACACCAGTCCTGAGTCTAGCAGTCATGTCTCGACGTCTTTTCATCCAGCACCAAGACAATAAAGTCCCACAGAGGCAGATAAATGACCTACTAGATGGACAAAGAAAATCAGGGTGTGGGGTGGAGACTGTGGCTGAGTGGTAGAGTGCTTTCCTAGCATGCCTGAAGCCCTGGGTTTGATTCCTCAGTACCATATAAACAGAAAAGGCTGCAAGTGGCACTGTGGCTCAAGAGCTAGAGTGCTAGCCTTGAGCAAAAGAAGCTCAGGAACAGTGCTCAGAATCTGAGAAAAAGAAAATCAGGGTGGCTGGGAAGCCAGGGCCAGCAGGTTAGAGATTTAGGGGAAAACTCCACCCTGTTTTAGCTGCCCATGCCGGCCTTAGGCTCCTGGCTGGCTTGTGTCCAGGCCTATGCGTATGCACATTCAGGAGGCCCCTCCTCCCTCCGTCCCTGCAGGGGCGGTTCTCAGGCCGGCTGGCCTGGGCTTGTCTAGACCACCATTCACAGGCCTGCCGGGCTTGGATGGAGGCAGAGAAGGCAGGCATCCTGGCAAGGAGGGCCGAGTTGAGCTCATCCTAAAAATAGAACCTGGGCTCTGCCAAAGGCTCCTGGGCATCTGTAGGGCTCTTCAGCGCTCATCGAAGCCATCAGGAGACTTTGTCCTAGAGTTGGCTCTCATCTGTGGGAAGGAAGCCAGTACACGATGGGAAGCAGGGAGTGGTGGGAAGTGGAGGACCTAGCCTAGCCGTTGGGTGGGAGGAGGCAGCGCAGGACTGAAGCAGGCCTTTCTGTGGATGTGGGAGCCAGGAAGTGGAGCTCAGAGCACTATAGAGTTTGTTTCACAGTGTGGTGGCTCCACTGCAGCTAGGGGCTATCTGGGTATGAAATCGATTGCTGCCCAAGGCTACCCATGTTTGATTTGAATGTACTCTTTGGGCCGCCTCCCTCCCTCCTTGCTTCTCTGCAGGCCTGGCCTACCATCTCCAGCGAGAAAGCCACAGTCTTCAGAGAGGAAGGGACCTGGAACACTAAATGGTGTTGTAGTAAGAGCAGAGCCCCCAGCCAGTGGCTTATGCCTGTCATTCTAACTAGTAAGGAGGCTGAGATCTGAGGATCAAAGTTCAAAGCCAACATGCACAGAAAAATCTGTGAGACTGTTATCACCAAGAAACCACCAAAAATCCAGAAGCAGAGGTATGGCTCAAGTGGTAAAGCTAAGGAACAGCATCCAGGCCCTGAGTTCAAACCTCAGTACTGGTGCATGTGTGTGAATGTACAAACACACACACAGCCGGGCACTGGTGGCTCACACCTGTAATCCTAGCTACTCAGGAGGCTGAGATCTGAGGATCGCAGTTCAAAGCCAGCCCGGGCAGGAGAGACC